GTCACCAGTGCGGCCTGACTCTGGCGGACCACAGACTCCTGGGAAGTCAGGGCCGAGGATTTGGTCCGTGTAGGTGCTCAGTAAAAACCTGCTGAATAAATCAGTGCTTCAGGCCCCATACATTCTCGCCCTGCTCCCTCTTCCTTGTAACTGGCACCTGTTCTATGTTTTCGAAACAATAGGCAGGTCAGTCCTGCCTCAGTGGCATCAAGTGCCCCATTGTCAGGGTTGACAAACTTTTCTAAAAATGATTAGATAAGAAATGTTTCAGGTTTTGAGAACTGAGAACCAAAATCAAGGGTGTTTGTAGGTATAACAAGAGTGAAGACAAATTTCCACAACATTTCTATTGATTAAATTAGCATAGAGGAGTGACTGTACCTTATTGAGTACAGGTGCATTAAGGGGTTGTTTTGTGGGTAGCGTTTTATTTAGTTTGGATTCGAAGTCAGCATGCCCTCCCTACAAATGGATGGCAAGTGATTATCTACAAATGGCTCTTAGCTTTTGGACAGCAGCTCGGACGTGGCCCCCAGGCTGTCGTTTACCTGACGTGGCATCATCTCCAAACTCTTTGCATTTTGCCACTCTCCTCATAGCGCCTTCCTGTTATCTCATGGCTATAAAGGATATGCTAACACTCGAACCACATTTATTTCTTCAGTCCGGCATCGCTGAGCACCTGTGCTGTAATGACCCTCCACCCCCACCCCGGGCTGCTCTAGCCACGACTCCTCACTTCCCGCCCTCAGACCTTGTGTGGGGGAGGCGGCAGCTGTGGCTGAAGGTTCAAGGCTGAAGGTCCAAGCCAGGGAGACAGACTGAAAACGGAAAAAGACCAAAAGGCAAGAGGCCGTTGAACAGGGGACTTCTTGAATTTAGAGGTTCATTTTGCAAGAATAACAAAGAACAGCAATGTCAGCAGAAACAGCAGGTGGAGTGTGTAGTACATGCCCTTGACCGGAATCGAACCTGGGACCCTCGAGTCTGCAGGCTGATGCTCTATTCACTGAGCCAAACCGGTTAGGGCATTCTATTTTATTTTTAATTCAAGGGGAGAAAACTATGAGCAGGATTTGATGGGAACCACCTGTGTTTTCATAAAACTTGGGGTGGAGGGTTTTTATTTGCAGCCTAAGCCCCATGAGCCTGTTCTTTAGAAATGTTTCCTGGACTCTTGTGAATGAGATCTACCAAATTCCACTTTAATTTTTATTTTTTTGAAGTTAATTCAGAAATAAGCATTCTGAACTGAGCATCCTGAGACCTGGGTTCTAATCCCAGTCCTGCCACTGTGTGGCCCGGGTGGGTCCTGTCGCCTCTCTTGCTCATGGTTTCCTTGTCCATACAATAAGGATGTGTCTACATCACCTCAGAGATCCCAGCGTTTATTCTGATTATGCCGTTATGTGGGTTCAAGATAATGGTCCGCAATGTCTAAGCTGTTCAGATTTTAATTGCTAAAAATAAAGGCACGGAATATTATCCATATATCATGTTCAATTAAGAAACCCTGAAACACAACTGCAAAGAATTACATTAGTTAGCTAGCTCATGAAGCACAAAGGACGTGGGAAAGAAAACCTTCCTAATCGATGGGAGGATCTGTGTTATGAGAACTCTCAGGGTTCGGCCAACCTGTCCACAGAGGTGAGCAATGAAGACCGTGCACCGTGTTATTTATCCTGTCTTAACGGCGATGAATGTTAGACTTCAGCTCCAGGCTCAATGTGAGGCAAAAATCTGATTATTTTGTTACTGCCCCCCTCCTCCATGGGCTCTTGGATGCTGAGTCTCCCTCTCCATTTCCAAAAATAGACTCTGGCTTCCCTTGCTGTGCTGCTGTACAGCTGTCGCTGCCATGTGCCCGGTTCGTGTCCCCGGGCGTTGCCTACCAGGAAGGTAATTGCTAAATCCCGTCCTCCTGCCCCAGAGTTGCTCATCCCCGTGCCCCTCGGAGCGGCTGATTTATGGAAAGCCGCAGTGACAGCCGGGAAGGGGCCCGCCTCTGCGACCACAGGAAACGTTTTGCAAGGGACAGTTTGACCACCACTCGGATGATTAGGATGCCATTCAGAGCCTGAGTCTTGTTCTACCAAGTATTCGCGGCATCACATGAATGTGGTCTGGGCTTTGGAGGGATGGCGGTACTATGGTGATTACAGCGGACGGGCCTGTCTTTCCTGGTAGGAATAATCCTCCTGCCAAATCCACCTTCGCTTCTGGTACGGGGATGATCTGGAGACTCCCCTTGCTGTTCTGTGTGGGTGACTCGGGGGTCCGCAGGCCCGGAGAGGACCCCGGATCCCTCTCCCAGGCCCACACGCTCACTCTTCACTGGACACCGGAAGTGAAGGGCCAGCATCTTCTGTCAACTCTCCTTTCCACTCAGAGGCTCCAGACCACCTCCCCCCTGCCATCCCCTGCCCCCTGCCCAGAGCTCCCCTCTCTCCCCTGCATTCCCCCTTCATGTAGAACCCCCAGGCCCATAGGATCTGCTACGTCTTTGTTTCGTAACAGCGACATCACCAGTGACGTGTTTGTAGCATTCATTCTGTGCCCGACAGTCTTCTAGGCATTCCACATGCATTTAAAACGTCACTTCACGTAGCCCCATCACACCCTGTGGCTGGGGGTAAGGAGTTTGGGTTAAGTGTGGCCCCAATGCCCTGTGCCTGCCTCCTCTGTCCCCTCCCGGCCATCAGCCGCTGGGCCTGGGGGGATTGAACAACCTCTTAAAGGTCCCCAACATGCACAAAACTCCTGTGTCTCCTTTTTTTTTCTTTTCTTTTCTTTTTTTTTTTATTGAATTTACTGGGGTGACATTGTTCAACAGAATGATATAGGTTTTAGCACCTGTGTCTTCACAGTCCATTTCATCAGTGTTTCTTTTAGACTGGGACCATCATTAAAATGTGAATGCTCTTATTTTGCTTTTACGGTATACATCCTGTTCCCAATTTCCTTGCTCTATTAAAACTGGACATTTTTACTTTATCACATAGAGAGATGATTAAGGCGCTGAACAGGGGTAGTCAAAGAGAACTGGGGTGAGCAGACACCCTTCCAGGGGGCGGATGTGGTGGACGGCAAATGCCCCGTGACCGCCCGAGTCCTTGGGTTTCCTGGAGGCATTCCCCTGTGCCGCGTGGGGAGTTATGTAACCGGGACCTCTGCAGGGACCCAGGGAGGGCAGGTTACTTACCAAGCGGTGCGCTTGGCATGGAGACTCCAGGAGCATCTGCCTGGCGCTTTCTCAGGCAGCGCGTCACCGTACATACGGTGCCAGGAGCCCACAGGAGGAAGGAGCGGTGGTGCCAGAGCCCAGACCCCTCTGAGTTAGGGTGAGGGGCCAGTTCGTCATCGTGGGCTTTATCCCCGAACTCCCTGTGTGAACTGTGGGCTGTCGGTGGTTATGGTTATGAGAAAGAGGCCCTGTGAAAGATTGGGCAGTGAACGTGAGCAAACAGATGACTCAGGACTCACACATCCTCATGCGGTGGTGACGGTGGGTGTTGTGGGATCTGAGGCTTCTTGAATTTTCTGTAAGCTGGAAAGTCCTCAGTAGCCTCAGGGGTCCCCAAAAGGCCAAGGGAGCAATGCCCCGTTAACAGTGAGAGATCTTGCTGGATCGCAGAACTAGTCCGGCACCCTCTGGCATTTTGGGGGCCTTTCCGTTAGCCGAATCCCTGCTCTGGGCAGCATGAGCGGGCCTGGGAAGTGGGAGAGGCATGTGGAGCAGCGGAGTGCGGTGCTGAGAGCCGCCTGGTTCAGATCCTGGCTCCACCAGAACCCGAGGGGCCTCACATGGCAGGCGGCAATCTGCTCCGGCTTCCTCGCTGTGGGTGGCTGGGACAGCAGGTACCGCCTGGACCTCGTGGGGTCAGCACGGCCAAATGAGGCAGCTCTGGACAGCAGCTAGAATGGATCCTAGTCCATCGCCCATGTTATCCAGAAAGCTGTGTCTTAGTCCGTGCGGGCTGCTACAACAGAACACATAGACCGAGAGGCTTATGAACAAGTGCTTATTTCTCCCGGGTCCTGGAGCTGGAACCGCGATCATGGCTCCAGCAGCTTTGATGTCTGGCGAAGGCCCACTTCTGGGTAGCAGGCTGCCAGCGTCTCGCTGCGGGCTCTCATGGGGCGGGGGCTGGGGGGCCTCTCCTCTCTTATAAGGACACGAATCCTATTCCTGAGGCTCTGCCCTCATGACTCAGTCACCTTCCAAAGCCCCCACCTTCTGGCACTGTCTATGGGAGTGAGGTTTCAACATATGAATTGGGGGGTGGGGGAGGTCACAGCGTTCAGTCCACACCACGTGTTACAGAAACGAAAACAAGCAGTCTGGTCCGTGAGGTTGCAGCATCTCGCTTTGGGTTCAGAACAGATGGTGTCGGCCGCTGCACTCCTTTCGTTCATCCGGAAAACAATGGGTGTTTATCACTCACTCCTCGTAGCAGAGAGCTGGAAGGACACGCCTTATGTGTTATCATCATCGACCCTTTCTCTCCACACACCGGCTCCTTTGCCCACCCTCAGCCGTTGTGTTGATAATTCTTGTTTCCTCCTCCATCGTTTCTGCCCCCTTCCCTGAATCAGTTTCTAAGTACTGTCAGCTTTTCACTGCTTGGTGTTCTCTCCGTAGCACCTGTCTCCCCCTTTACCCCCAGCTCCCACCGCCCCTTCCTGGGCTAGGTCTCTCTGCACTTCCCATCTCGCCCACTGTCAGGCGGGGCCTTGTGCTGGAGCTGTTGGCGCCCCTGCCTCTTTCCTCCCCGAGGAGGGAAAACTCCCCGAGACCAGGCTTGTGCTCTCTGTGGTGGTGGGTTGTCTTGGCGTCTGGCCCAGTGCCTGCTGCCCCGTGGGCTCCGGTGAGAGACTGTGTTGCCAGCATTCAGGGAAAGCAGAAGCTGTAGGTCTCACCGCAGTGCGCGGAGACCCAGACTCACGTGGCGTGTGGGGCGGCCGGGCTCACGTGTCTGCATCTGCTCTCCCCCCAGTGCTTAGAGAGAGCCATGAAGTTCGCCTTCGAGGAGTTCCACCTCTGGTACCAGTTCGCTCTGTCGCTCATGGCGGCCGGAAAAGTGAGTCCCCCTCCTGCGTGCGGCCCTCCCCGTCCACGCGCGCTGCCTTCCAGTCCCGGGAGCGGTGGCCTGCCTCGCAGGAAACCCAGCCACAGGAGACTGCCCAGTGGTCGTTTTTCTAAATGAACAGCCAGGGTTAACTATTTGGGGGCCAACGCGGACACATCACTGAGAAGAATTCTGAAATATTTGCCTTTTTCTCGCCATTGTAACTTGGTCCTGTGACGATGTGGCTTGAACTAAGGCTGGCTTCTTCACCTGTCTCCCCACTACCCCTCTCCCTCATCTGGGAGCATACACTGATTCCCGCAGGGGAAACTGGGTAGTTCTCTGTGGCGGTTTGTTACATCGGGATGTGTCTGATGTTAGTGGAAAACAGTGGTCGGCAAACTGTGGTTCTCAAGCCACAAGCGGCTCTTTGGCCCCTTGACTGTGGCTCTTCCACAAAATACCATGGCTTGCTCGAGTCTATTTTGAAAAAGTGGCATTACAAGAAGTTTAAGTTTTAAAAATTTGGCTCTCAAAAGAAATGTCAATCGTTGTACTGTTGATATTTGGCTCTGCTGACTAATGAGTTTGCCGACCACTGGTTGAAACCGTCGGCTTTGGAGCCCAAGTGCCAGAGCTGAGGGCGGGGCTGTGTGACGCAGGTCACCGTCTTCCCTTTCCAGTAAAATGTGGTAATAATAGGGCCTGCTTCCAGAGTGATTATTGGGCAAATGAGAGGAGACCCACCAGGTGCTTAGCATAGTACCCCCACGTGGGATGCACTCAATAAAGTAAATTCATTAAATTTGGGCCATTTAATGAATCTGCCAATTAGCGAATGGTTCAGACTGTGACATCAGATTCTTTGGGCCAGGTGGAAACAGATTTAGGATGGTATGCTATAAACAGCTTAGTTTTTATAATGCCACCAGGAGGAAGGAAATGAGGGGGACTCCAGGGAAGCCTTTCTGAGGGTTTCACCCCAGTTTACAACCCTGTCACTCAGGGGCCCCACGTCCTGGCTGTTGCCGTCCCGGCCCTTGCGGGGTTGGGCTCCCGTTGGAAAACCGAGTTAACAGGACAGCTAACTGAAACCCCCGGGGGAGCTGTTAGTGTCTGGTTCTGCCGAACATTCCGAGTTTCACAGAAATACTCTTCTTTGCCCAGTCCGCCCGGGCCGTGAAGGTGCTGAAGGAGTGCATCCGGCTGAAGCCCGATGACGCCACCATCCCGCTGCTGGCCGCCAAGCTGTGCATGGGCTCCCTGCACTGGGTGAGTGCTAGCCGTGCTGGGTGAGTGCTCCCTGCACTGGGTGAGTGCTGGCCGCCCGGGCAGGACTGTCATGGTGGCATCTCCAGGCTCTGAGGGGAAGGCGCAGTGACTCCCCGCTGCACACACACAGGCTGCTCAGGGCCCCAGGCCCGGCTCCTCTGGCCTCTCCATCTCCCCACTCCTTCCCCCTCTCCCCCCCACCCCCTCGGGAATCGGCATGTTCCCGGGGGACTCCAGGGTTTGTTTTTTTTCATGGGAATGTGCTTGAAAAGTAGGAATGATGGAGTGGGCATTCATGCTCAGGTACATCTGGCAGTGGAAGCTAACGTAGGACTGAAGAGCAGGAGGGGGAGGGAGAGAGAGCTAGAAATATCCGTGAGAGAGAAACCTGGGCCAGCTGCCTCCTGCACACCCCCGACTGGGGACGAGCCCACCACCCAGGCCTGTGCCCTGACGGAATCGGTGGAACCGGGGATCTCCCGGTGCAGGGGACGAGGCTCAGCAACTGAGCCACACCGGACAGGCCGGACCCAACTTCCGTCTTCCTCTGCCTTCTCACCTCTCCCTCTTCAGATACTCTGGTTCAGATTAGGATTGAGGAATAGTACGATTCATGACAGTTTTAATCCCTCCAAAACCTGCCATTTCAGTAGAAAGCTCAGACTGGTTGCTGAGATGGTGGTCACTGCAGTTTTACTTTCTTTTCTTTGCTTATTAAGATTAGCGATAAGAAGCCCTGGCCAGAGCCTCTGCCCTCCCACCAGAGGGTCTCAGGTTCAAAGGCACATACATACCTGGGTTGCAGGTTCACTCCGCACCAGGGGCACGTGGAGGAGATAACCAGTCGATATGTCTCTCGCGTCAATCTCTCTCTCTCTCTCTCTCTCTCTCTCTCTCTCTCTCTCTCTCTCTCCAACCCTCTCCATCCCCCCTCTCTCTCCATCCCTCGCTCCCACTCTCTGAAAAGCAGTGGAAAAAATGTTAGGTGAGGAGAAACAAAAAACAGATAAAATAACAGATAAGTGATAAGAAGAACTTCCCCAGGAGACTGGGGAGACCTGCTAAGGTTTTTACCTTATGGTCCATGTTCGTGTGTCTCCCCCCGCCCCCAGTCACCCACCCCCCATTCATTCTCACCCAACGGGGCAAGAGTGAGCCTTGTGAAGGGTGTTCTACCTTGGTTACGTTTTATTTGGTAAAACGTGGGAGGAAAAGACATTTTGAAAGATCAGGCCCTCGCCAGAAACAGAGAGCTGTGAAGGTCTGGGCAGGTTTGGACAAGTGGGGCCGCAGTGTGGGGGCAGCAGGAGCAGCGGTGGGGTGGGCGCAGGAGCGGGCACAGGAGTGGGTACAGGAGTGGACCCAGCCCCTTCGTTTGAAAATGCGTCCCCCAGCTGTGACCGCCGCCCTCCCTGCAGCGTGACATTGCTCATTCTGTGACACACGTCTCTAATGCCTAAAGTAAGCCTTTTTTTTTTTTCCCAAGATAAAAGTTACAAATCTTTTCTGTTTATCTATTTTTCCATTTTTATTATTAAAACTTCCAAATGCCACAGAGTGTAATGAGCTGCCACGTACTGTCCCCCTGTCTCAATAGCATCCACATTCGCCGTAGTTCGAAGGAACAGACCTTACTATCTGCCTCTAATATACTATGTGAAGGACTCATTTTGGGTGCAGCTTACAGGGGCCAGGTCCGTGTGCTGTGCGGTACAAAATAAACAGATGCCGTTCTGGCATTTTTAGTGGCTTATAAGAAAGAGAAACCAAGCTTCAATGGATTCATTATGTTTTTTTAAAAAAATAATAATAAGGTAAGACCCAAACACAAAACATTTTTGTATGGGTAGGCAATGCTGGTTTACAGTTGTAATACAAATAATGCAATAATTCATAAGTAATAATGCAAGAATAAACTGTTTCGCACACTTGCTGCTTTTGCCACCACTGTATATAAAATTCAACTTCTGAGCACCTTGCACAAGCTCTTGCAGAGCCAGTCAGTGAAAAGGAGAGGAAAGGTGGAAAGGAGAGGAGCCCACCGAGGAGGAGAGCGACCATGGAAAAGAAGGCAGAGATCGGTAGGAAAACCTTAGCGGGGAAAGGCGAGGTAGGGTCATCAGGACTGTCAGAGAGCTCAGATACAGCCTGAATTGCCACGGTGGACTTGGAAGGTTTGGGAGTCATTTTCACGGTGACTCATCAGAAATCTGTTCTTGGCAGCCGATGCTTCTGGTAACTCATGTTGGAGATTCTGCAGGTTGTCATTTTCTTAACGTGTCTTGCTTTTCAGTTGGAAGAGGCTGAGAAGTTTGCCAAAATCGTCGTTGATGCGGGAGAGAAAACATCCGAGTTCAAGGCCAAAGGCTACTTAGCTCTGGGGCTCACGTACAGCCTGCAGGCCACTGACGGTGAGAGAAGCCCCACCCACAGGCACATAAGCTGGGCCAGTCTACATGCTGCTGTGGGGCCCTGCTGCTGTGGTCCTCGTCTCTTGTACTGCTTGGATGTGGGAGGGAAGGGGCACAGGGGACCTGCTGGCAGGTGCAAGGGCCTTGAGAACTGATTCATCCCACCCAGCCTGGGCCTGCCTCTGCCCCAGCACTTGGCTGGGCTGACCACCGTGAAGGGATGTGGGGTCTTAGGCACAGGAATATAGGACAGTTCCGGGCCAGCCTCTTCCAGGAAGCTTCCCTTGATTGGTCAGGACCTGCCCTTTGTCCATGCATTCATTCTTTTCTTCTTTTCTTTTCTTTTTTCTTTTTTAATATTTTTTCATTGATCTCAGAGAAGGAGGGAGAGGGGGAGAGAGAGAAACATCAATGATGAGACAGAATCGTTGATTGGCTGCCTCCTGCACACCCCACACTGGAGATGGAGCTTGCAACCTAGACACGTGCCCTGACCAGGAATCAAACCGTGGCCCCAGGTTCATAGGTCGCTGCTCAACCATGGGGCCATGCTGGCCGGGGTCACTTGTGAACTGATTTTCCCAGCTCAGTGCTGGGCGGGGCGGGTCAGTCCCTTGTGTTCGTATCAAGGTGGTAACAGTCCTGGCCGTTGCACAATGTGAATTAAACTGGCCTTTCCTGGCCCAGGACCAGAGCTGCTCGGTGCCAGAGGCCCTCTGAAGGCTGTGCCTGATGGTCCGCTCTGCCTCCCGGGAGAGCCAGGCTTCACCCACTTGCGTGCCTGCACTGGAGGCAACAGCCGGGCTCCTCTCTGCAGTTCCCTGCTGGCCCCCTCTGCCCGGGGCACCAAGAATGACCCTCACCTGGCGCTGTCCCCTCGGCATGAGTGCAAGGGCCCCGGGCTGGCCTGGGCTCCGTGGCCCGTCTCCTGCAGCGCCTGGGGCAGCGCCGAGCGCACGCCCACCCAGAACGTGTTGCCCACAACCCAAAGGAATGTGTGGTTTTTGTGACGAGCTTCGTATTTGTCCGAAACATGCCACTGACGGACCGAACCCTTTCCAGCTTCGCTGCGAGGGACGCAGGAGGTCCTGCAGAGAAAGGCGCTGCTCGCGTTTCAGAGGTGAGTGGGAGCTCCTCCTTACCCTCGCTGGACACGATGACACCACAGTGTGAGGAGTATAACAGGGAGAGATATTTATAAAGATTATGTAAACAGTGTCTCTCCCCGCAACCCCGGCCCTCTCTTCCCCCCCCCCCCCCCCCCCCCGAGTCTTTCCCCTCCAGCACCGAACACCCGGCGTGGAAGCTCGCCGCATCATTTGTTACCAGGTAGATCTGCATTCTCTCATCTGCCCGTCCGTCATCCTTGGGGCACACTTTATTCCTTCCTAACACAGCCAGCTCAGCCCCGGGATGACAGATACTCTGTGTGTGCAGGGAGATGGTTCCTTTTATTAAAGACATTTGTCACCATCTAGAAAAGGGATCATTCTTTCCTAGCTTTTTTTTTTTTTTAAAATTTTTTATTGCCTGTGAAGCTGCAGATTTTTATATTAAGAAATGAACAAGTCAGGTTTTAGGACAGTCTCTGAAATACTTGGTGAAGACAGTCAAGTCGCCTCCAGCCCTGCCTGGCTCCATAATACCTGTGCAGTCTCCATCGCCGTGCCTCCCATGAAATTCGGAGGATGCTTTATATTAGTGATTAGCACATGTTCTCCCACATCCCTCATTTCACCTCATCCTCACCCACACCAGGAAGGAAGGCAGGACAAGCAGGATGTTCACTGCAGGTGAGGGATTTGCTTGCAGGAGTGGGGAATTAGGGAGCCACTTTGCCTTTGATAGAACCGTCATCTTCTGACTCTAACCCAACTCTTCTGGTACCTACTGTACTTCACTGCCCTGATTTTATTTTTATTGCAGCTCTAATAACTCACTAAAATGAATCATTGCTTGAAAATAAAGCCGCCTGATGGCAAATCTATAATTGCTATTGATCCTCTCACGTTAACTACATCTGAGTTACATTGCTTTCTTGGAATCATATTAGAAACTTCATTACTTGCACCAAAAGTTCGTGAGGACCTCAGTCACTAGTACCTTTGCTAGATTTCTTTCCCAGACTGGGGTTGCCTGGGGATTTATCGCAGTGTTCGCGCCCCTTTCTTCGTGAAATCCTTATTAGTACTTGGTTTCGGTTAGTCCGAAATCTTGCATCTGACTTTTGTTTCCTGCCAGACCTGCCGATTGTGCCTTCCCCTGGCCCGTCCCAGGCTGGTCATTGACAAACAGTCCGGATGGACACCTGCACCAGCTCTGTGTCTGTGCTGAGCTTTTGTTGATGTTCCTCAGCATGGGGGTGTGGGAAGCCTTTCCATTTCAAAGGATTTGGAGTTTTAACTTTTCCAGTCCTCGCTTGTAAAACATACGAATGCCTCAGAGAGTAGCCATTACATCTGTTTCCCTTTTCTCAAGTCAGCACATCTCCTTGGCTCTCTAAAAGCAGGCCCGGGGCAGGGCGGGGCGGGGGAGGGGGGTGTCTGTCTGGAGCAGCCACAATTCGTAACTTCATGTTAGGTCGCAGCCTTTCCTTTGACTCGAATTCCTTCTTGTTCCTTTCACTTAGGTTTGAAGTCAAAGAGATTTTGTAAAATATTAGTTCATGCAGAAATAAAGAGCAATAAAAGCCTATTAAACCATGGATTTATTGGCAAAGGCTAGTCTAAATTAATATTTGTGTGAAATGAAGAATAATTTTCAAGGAAATAAATTATTTTGTTTCAAGTACACATTAATGAGGGCTAATCTAGTACATTGTAGGCCTGACAATCTGTAAGGAAAGATTTTAAGTAAATATGAATGATTTGTATTCCTTCTTAAATATGAATGGATATTTAAAAACCACTTGGATGAGAAGTACTTTTAAAAATATATATATATTTAAATCCTCTGCCAATGATGCTGGGTTTCTCCTATTATTTGGCAATTTTTGTTTAAAAAGAAAAAAGTGTAACTCAAAAAGGGGTGGGGTTGTAGGTATAACATTGTAAATATTAGCTCTTAGGCCTGGAGTCAGAATTCAGAAAGATTTGCTATCGGGGAGATTAAAAAGGTGGTTTTTGAAGGCTTTTCACTTGCGTTTCTGCATCTTAATATTAATTTGTACATCCTCAACTGTTCGTACATCCAGAAGCTCAGCCCCAGCAGCTGGGCCAATTCATTTGGCCCGTACAGAGGTACAGTGAACAAGACCACGTTGTCTGCAAAGCTGAGAGCGTGGGGCAAAGACTGGACCCCACATGCAGAAATGGGCTGCTCCATGTGTTGTTGGTTGTGTTTGTCACTCAATGTGAAACACAATCTCATGTTATGTTCTCTCCCCGTCCTGGCGTAAGTTAAGTTTGCTTGTGGTATAGTTTGTGTGTATGGAATGAGTGACCATCCTAGTTTTTCGGGAAGGGAGTAGCATCCCAGAACTTAGGACTTTGAGTGCTCAAACCAGGGAAAACCAGGACAAGTTGGTTATCCTGTGTGTGTCAGTAATGGGAGGTTTCTGAGTGATAAATTTAACCAGGTGTGTACTTTCCCCCTCTTAACTGAATAATAAATACACTGATCACAGGTCCATTTCAATCTGAACAGAAGGAGACTTTGAGGAGACTTGACTGGACAAGGCAGCAGGGTGATACGGGGGAGAGAGCAGGCCTCAGGATTTCACTTCTACTTTAGCTCTTTTGCTGGATACTCTTGTACCAGGTGCTTAAAAGTAGATTCTTCATACATTGTAGTTATTATTGTTATAAAGTATACATATATATGTATACTTTATAACAATAATAACTACAATGTATGAAGCTATTATATATATATTATATATATATATAATATTATATATATTATATATATTAATATATATTATATATATATTAATGGCCAGGGTCAAACTTGTTCAGCCTTTTCTATATTCTTGGTTCTAGAACATGTTGGAACCAGAGGCTAGGAGAGCACTGGTGGACCTCACAGTGTCCTGGGTTCTAGACAGATGATCTTGGGGGCCCATCCATGCTCTCCAGCGGCAGGCTGGCATGCCTCTCTGGGGGCCCTGCTCCCACTGTACTGTAATGGTCACTTTGGGTCTCCCTGATTCTAGGGGAGAAGGGATGTTCTCCCTTCTCCAGGCTGGTGCCTGGTTCATCTCCAGGCTCCCCAGAGGCTGGCACAGGCCTGGTACTACATTGCTACTAAATAATGTGGGTGGGTGGGTGAATGGATGAATTGATAGATGGATGAATGGATGGATGGATAGATGGATGGATGGATGAGGATGGATGGATGGATGGATGGATAGATAGATAGATAGATAGATAGATAGATGAATAGATGAGTGAGTGGGTGGATGGATGGATAGATGAGGGGATGGATGGATGGATGGATGGATGGATGGATGGATGGATGAATGAATGGATGGATGGATAAATGGATGGATAGATGAGTGGATGGATGGATAGGTGGATGGATGGATGATGGATGGAATGATGAATAGATGAATGGATAGATGAGTGGATGGATGGATGGATGGATTGATGAATAGATGGGTGGATGCATGGATGAATAGATGAGTGGATAGATGAAAGGATGGATAATGGATGGAATGATGAATAGATGAGTGGATAGATGAATGGATGGATGAATAAATGAGTGGATGGATAGATAGACAGGTGGCCTGGTGACCCATAAGTCTAATAATTCTTTTTTATGGAAAGTACATTAAGTTAATGGGCATGGAGTCGCTTTGACAAGGGAAGCTCTTTGTGAGCATCCTGTGGTGACATTTTTAGATGTCTGGGTTTCTCCTAACATCTCAGATGCTGCTGTATGGGAATGGGGTTTGTGGGCTGCTTTGTATTCACGTGCACCATTCAGCAGGATTCCAGTTGTCAGGAACACGAATGTCTTTCCTCTTATCTGCGTGGCCTGACGACATCCGTTGAGCAGGTTGTCTCTGGGTGTGTCACAGGGAATGTAGCTGCCCAGCTGCTCTGTGTGACCGAAGCAAGCACTCTAGGTTGTCCTGAGATCAACACCATACTCTGATTCTTCTTTTGTTGAGCATTCTCCTTATTTTCTTTTTTCTTTCCTGGACTAAAGTAGTCAGTTTAACTCATTAGCCCAAATATAAAAGTAAGACTTTTAAAGTATGTATGTTTAAGTTGTGCCTCGTGAGAAATTGGCAGCTGGATATCCATCATCAGCCAGGTTTGCAGTTCTTCAGCTGCTACCCCAATCTTCCCAGAAATGCCAAAACCCCTGGCACGTCTGGTTGTTTTTGTCACTGCGAGTGGCTCACAGTGCGTGATCACTGATGAGGCCAGGGCGGGGCTCATGTCAGAACTGTCCTCACCCATTCCCCAGAGCCCCCAGGCCGTGGCAGCTTCTCACGTGGGTGGTGTCAGGTGGAGGCAATCCTGATCTGATCTAACTTCACCTTCGAAGACCCTAACTGGGCCAAGAAAATGATAGCTCTGAGGGGTTCTTGAAACCTGGCTTTTTATTCATTAGGAAAGAAGTGAAATAAAATAAAGAATGCTGAATAATTCATTGTCTCTTCATAACTCACTTTGTATTAGCTTCCCCTGAATAATTGAGAGAGACAGAACCACGACGTCCTGATCTCATTTCTCATGAACACCAAAGAAAAAGGTTCTTTCCCCTTTTTCTGTGTATAGAAATGATAGTGGCCTGTTTTGTGTTCAGTCCACCAATGAAGCAGCAGCCGTGTACAAATTCATGGGAAAACCAATACTTAAGAAATAATAAAAACTGGAGCATAGTGGTAGAAGCAAGAGATTTAAAAGGGCAACACGGGCAAATAGCCCAAGCCTGTTACCCCACGGTGAGGAGAATCCTAGGCACAGTTCTGGTGAAGTAACCAGGGAGGGGATTTAAGAGCAATAGAAGGACAGACTCCCCTTGCTCCTCCCCACCCCCTCCAGTCCTCACAGGAGCTGCCGCATTTGCCCAAACAATGGCCCAGATTGTTGGACTCAGCGTATTTTCTGGAAGGCAAACGCCTGGAAGACGTCTTAGTCTTTTTCCCCACAGCAGGTGGACAGTTCCATGAAAAGGCCTTACTACTGCGTGAAGCCGTCCCTAATGTGTTTGCCTGGGATATGGCTTCCTTTTTTATCCTGAATTTGTTTTCTGTCCCTAGAAGATCCTCCTTTAATCACAGAACGTTGACAGAACAGGATGGAAGTCTGTTTATCATCAGGCCCCATCGTTTTTTCATTGGTCTGCTCCATCGTGCCTTTTAAAGAAAGTAAAGTTGGTTTTCTCTTCCCTCGAGACTGTTCAGCGGAGGGGGTGTCTCGTATACAGCCCCATTTTGAGTTGCTCATGGTGAGATATGATTGACTCCCACATAAGAGCAAGAATGACCATGTTGGCAGTTAGGAGTCCAGTACAGCTCTTCACAGCTGGTGTCAAAGGCCAGTCAGTAACCCTAAGCCCAGTGTGTAGTTTTTCATGTCAGAGTTGCGTGGACAAAACTATCAAGCTGCGTGGAGCTTGGTAGATTTGGAAGACTGAACGAGTCTCCTCCTTCTCTCCTAGAGTTAGTTCATCAAAAACCGGAACCTCATTTTACCAGCAAAGCCGGGTCTTGATTTTTGTATGGTTTCTCTGGAATCTAGATATTTGGATGAAGGTAGCATTAAGGCCAAACCCAAACTCAACCAAAGCCCAGCTGCCTTGCCCAGGACACCCATGGCCTCGCCGTGTCCCAGTGTGACGCTGAGGGTCAGAGCTCAGGGCCTGCAGATTCTGCACCTCCAGGCTGCTCCTCAGAGCCCAGGGTCACAGAGGCCACTTCCGGGTGGACCGGACAAAACAGGCCACCAGCATTCCTGTACACAGAAAAGGGGACACACAGCCCATTTGTTAGTAAACTTTTGTTTAAATGAGACATTCAACGATTAAATATAGGGTCTTGGTATAAAAATACAAATGATAAAAATGCAAATGTGGCTTCTTGTTGGATAGGGAAGTAGAATGGCCTCTCCCAGGTACTAACAGCCGTAAATACTTTTTCAGGGCCCACAGCCTGTCGCCTACGGATCACCAAGCAGCTTTCTACCTCGCTCTGCAGCTCGCCATCTCCAGACAGGTCAGTTCCTCCGATGTTCCTAAACCGGGTGCACGCTCTGTCTTGATGCGGTTCCTTCAGTGCCTCAGCTCGAGTTGGTAGCTGGTCTTCCACCCCGGGCTGACCTGGACCGGGGCCCTCCCCCGCACAGCGCAGACCCGGTGCTCCGGTCCGTCTGAGCATCAGCTGCACAGACACAGGCCAGGCTCTGCGTTAGGAGCTTTAGTCCATAGACCTGCAGGGCCCGGCCCGGGGTCGGGTGGCAACGTGGACGTAGCATGTGGCAGACGCCCTAAACCCAGGGGTCATCGAAGAGCCCGTGTGACTTGCCCGCAGAGCCCGTGCTGAGCTCTCAGCAGAGTGGAGATTTAGGATGGGGCCTGGTTGCCATTAGGTATCCATGATGGACGATGCCGGTAGGCATAGACAGAAGCACCAGCCGGTTCCTTTCAAATTCGTGGAGGTCGGAACATTACACGCGGTGACTCCTGGGGTAGGAGCGTCAGCAGTGCCCTCGGTGGAGGGACAGCTTCACTGGCCTCACCCTCCCTGTGGCAGTCTCCAGAAGCCGCCTTTGCCTTCTCGTCCCTTCCTGTCCCCTCCCAGCTGCTCTGGAGACTCTGGCCACATGCCTGCCTGCCCACCAGGTGCAAGACACTGGTGGTAACCCCAGCACATTCCAGAGAGCTGACTGGAGGGTGAGCGAAAGGTCAGTTCCCCAGACGTGCCATTCCCCTGGCAGGCCCGGCTGCAGGCATGCATCTGACTTCCCGGAGAGGCGGCTCCCTTTGGCGACCTGGGGACTTCGGAAACCGAGGTCCTCGCACCTGGTGTGGTGTGGCTCACAGCTGCAGGCCCGTGACGGCCACCTGGCCTCTCCCCCCCCCCCCCCAGGACCTGCTCTCCCCTCCCCCGTGAAGCCTCCTGCCTGCAGAAGCCTGCATTGCCCTTCCTCTTGCTCAGCTCTCCTGTTCGGTGTCTTTCCCTCCTGACGGGAGGCTCCATGCAGGCAGGAACCGTGGCTGCCATCGTCACCGCTGTGACCCATCAGGGAAATACATAAAAACACACACAAACCGCTGAATGAAGGAGCCAGCCTTGCACTCCCTCAAGCCAGCTGTCCCTGCAGGCTGCCCTGGTGAACCCTGTGTCAGCTCTCCCTGGCCGCTTCGGGCAGACACACATTGACGCCCCGCCTGCCGACCCTCCCCACGGCCCTGGCTGGGCGCTGTTCACGCCGTCAGTTCTCCCCTGGGGGATGGACAGGGTCACAGAGCCTTTGGGAGCACACAGCGTGACAACCCCAGACTCCGGCAGCCGAGTTTCCTGCTGACCGCGGGCAGGGGGCGTGTGGCCTGTTCTCTTCAGAGCCAGGGCCCTTTGAGTAGGGGGAGAGGGTGGGAGGGGAATCCGAAGATCTAGCGCCACTCTCGTCCCAGAAGTTCAACAGCTGGGTGACCTGCTCAAGTCGTTTCACCCCTGGACTTCGCTTCTCCCGTAAATGATGGGTTGGCAGATGGTCCCCCTTCCAGCTGTATTAGCCATGGCTCTGGCTCAAAGCAGAAAGCCTCCAGAGCCAGCACTTGTAATCAAATTCATCAAAATGAAATTTCAGATTTGGGGGGAAAAAAAGTTGTGGCTTTCTACTAAGGAGTGAGGTTTCTGAAAGTTTGGGAAGAAGCAGGAGCGCTGAGAGGGGTCCAGTCAGGGACTGACGTTGGGAGGGGAGACCGGAGGGGCCCCAGGCCAGCCGTGGAGAAAGCTTCAGGCTGTCATTCTCCCCGGGGACTGCTAAACCGGCATGGAATCTAGGGCCGTGGTTGGCAAACTGCTGCTCACGAGCCACATTCAGCTCTTTGGCCCCTTGAGTGTGGCTCTTCCTCAAAATACCATGGCCTGGGCGAGTCTGTTTTGAAGAAGTGGTGTTAGAAGAAGTTTAAGTTTAAAAAATTTGGCTCTCAAAAGAAACTTCAATCATTATACTGTTGATATTTGGCTCTGTGGACTCATGAGTTTGCCGACCACTGAGAGGGTGTTCAGTATTTATCTGTGCATTTTATCAACATTTTATTTATTTGGACGATTTTGAAGCAATAGCTGTTGCATTTTAAGGTCAAGGTTGTGTCCGGTCCCATTTGAGTTTGAACGTGGCATTGAATGTGGCACCTGCCATTTGTTTCTTGGATCAGAGTATTTGGGTTGTGGTTTGGGAAGGTGGCGGGGAGAGGGTTTGTGTGTGTTTTTATGTATTTCCCTGATGGAGAACCAGGACAAAGGAACTTGGCAGGAATCACAAGTGTCTGTTCATTTAGAAAGCTGTTATAAAGTTCGTGACTTTAGCACTTTTATTTTAGTAATACTTTAAAAAAACGAGAACAGTTCAGTTAAGGCTGTTTAATTCCACTAAAAACCTCTGGCAATTGGTATGTGCCTCCATGTAGTGAAATTATCTTTAGCATGATCCAAAGGTCAGTTTTGCAGAAAAAGAAAATATTTACTTAGGGAAAAATGAAAGATTGGTTATTGGCAGAAACGGTATTACTTCAATGATTAGACTATGGCTTGAAGAGAGTGTCTTATTTTCGTGTTTGTAGGTAATATCTCTAATATGAAAGCTCTTTATGTGCTTTCATAAAGATGGCTTCGTTGTGTGTGTATATGTGTGTGTGTGTGTGCATGCACATGCTCGTCTGTGTACATGTGCACGCGCATGTGTGTTTAAAAATTCCTATTGTCTTTGTTCTAAACCAGATACCGGAGGCTCTGGGGTATGTCCGTCAGGCTCTTCAGCTTCAAGGCGATGATGTTAACTCGCTGCACCTGCTCGCCCTCCTGCTGTCGGCACAGAAGCATTCCCACGACGCGCTGAGCATCGTGGACATGGCCCTGAGCGAGTACCCCGAGAACTTTCTGTGAGTGGCCCTGAGCTTGCGTTTTCCATGCAAAAGCTATTGCATTTACTTCTTCCAGCTCCCTTCTCTGTAATCTGACTTCTTCGTGGGCATCCTGAGAGTAAATAGTACAAAACTCCTTTTCCTCTTTTCCCCCCACAATATTTGAAACACATATACTACTGACCCTTAACGCAAGGCTAGGGGTGCGGACCCCCCCCCCCCCCCACGGAGGAGGATCTGGGGAGAGCTTTTAACGCCCCAGAAGCTTGACTGCCTACTGCTGATGAAAGCCTGACCACTACACATACACAGTGGTTAACATATTTTGTATGGTACATGTATCCAGTATACGTCACTCTATAATAAAAGAGGATGTTATTAAAAAAATCATAAGAAAGAGGAAATACATTTCCAGGATTTATTGAAAAAAGTCCACATGTAAGTGGACCCACGCAGTTCAAACCCGTATTGCTCTAGGGTCAATAGCAGTCCGTTAGGTCATCCTTATTTAGTTAAAATATTTTATCTGTTTTTCCCATCGTGTACCCTTGGGCACAGGAGAGGATTGCAGATGGGCTGTGGATGAACTTTTTTTATTTTAATGGTTATGCAATCCTAAATGTCCATTAGGAAAATATAACTGCCTATCAAAGTGCGACTTCTGGGAAATGGTCGCTCGGAGGAGGCTAAGAAAGTTTTGTAATGAGTTGCTTTAAAGTCACTTTCAATAAAAATGTTAAGCAAACACCGGTGGGCACCCCTGGGTGTGGCAAACGTTGTATTGGACCAACCGCAGCGACTGGACCGCGGGAGCTACAGCTTCAGGGCTCGTCTGTCCTGCGTTAACTCCAGGGTCTCCCTGCCCAGGTGTCAGGTGATGGTTATATGTCAGCAACTTCAGACAAGATGCCTTGGTTTTATTTGCTAGGAAACTGAATTCCTCAAATCGGCCCATATTTGTACATCACCTAAGAACTGTCGTTATAGACTGCTAGACGCTTGAATTATCTGCTTATCATCGTCACGTTTCCATGGAATCCCCAAACCCAGGCTTGTCGCCGAGGCTTTGCTGAGGGCTTTGTCTTTGGCTCCTTGGCTCCTACCTTTTCCTCAGGGGGGTAGCTTAGTAACAGGTGCACAGTGGCCAGAGACAGTGTGCAGCCCTTAGCTGTCTAAGAGGCGGGGGCAGTAATGGGGCGGGGGGGCGGGGTGTTGGAGAGGATGCTGGGGCGGGAAGGAATGGAGCTGGTGGCCGGGCTGGCTCTCCCCACTTTCAGAAATAAGTGCAGGCCCACATTTTAAGTGATCGCCTTTGGCTTGATTTCTCTGCCTCACCACCTCACTGTGTTTTAATCAGAGTTTCAGCAGCTCCCCTCGGAACACGGTGCACACATTTCCATTACAAACATCTCTTTGTCTCCAAGCGAGAAGAGCACCTCTCCCCATCCAGAGAGTTCTCATTATAATCCAGGAAACCTCCGTCTGGAGATTTCTTTTGTAGGTTCAGCTATTGATGCAGAGGCACGAAAAGGCTTTGCTGCAGTGTTTGCTGCTGGCACGTCTCAGGCTTGCTCTTTTGCATACCGAATGTATTTAGGATTTTAGCCGTAGCTGGTTGTTAGCCCGTGGAACCGTAACTGGTGAAAGCACTTGAAAAAGCCTCCCGTCCTTTACCCGCTGGTGAAGTACAGCCCGATACAATTAAATCCCGCTTCTCTCTTCCATATTTATGAAGCCCCCTTCCCGCCTCGCATCCCCAGCGCCTTCGTCAGAGCTTAGACTCGCCGGCGGCTCCTGCAGAGATGCCTGGGGACCTTCCCGGGGAGGGCTTACACCCAGAGCCACCGCACACGGCAGGCAGTAAACAGTGGTGGCTAATACGGTAATGCCTCCGAGTGACAGCGGCTGACAGACAGCCTCGCAGGCAGTGTGAGGAGGAACAGCAGCGGAGATATTTGAGGAATGCAAGCCTGTTATTTTAATGTCAGGCCGTAAGCTCAAAGAAAGCAAGGCATAGGTCAGCAGGTCCGAGAGCAGCCACGACTTGTTTGCTTTTTAAATATTTGTATTTCTTCCTCTGCGATGAGAGACTTCTTCCCGAGAAGACTTCATTAAAAGCTGGGCCAGAGGTAGTCAGACGACCACACGGTTTGTCCCCAGCCTGGGTAAACCATTTCAGCAGCAGCCTACCTGAGACCCCGCGGGCCCCTGTCGGGCGGTGTTATCCACGTGTCTGTCAGCCTCGTCCCCAGCAGCCGTGGGTCCGGAGCAGGGCTGCCCTGTGCGGTTGGGCCCCCCAGCCATGCCTCCCGCAGGCCGAGGCGTAGGGGACGTGTGCTCAGCACCTGCTGGGTGGAAGTGAACCCCTTCCCACTATTAAACAGGAAGCAACTGCCGAAATTGGTTTGGCTCAGTGGATAGAGCATCGGCCTGCAGACTAAAGGGTCCCGGGTTCGATTCCAGTCAAGGGCATGTACATTGGTTGCAGGCGCATCCCCGGAGAGGGGGTGTGCAGGAGGCAGCTGATCGATGTTTCTCTCTCATCGATGTTTCTAGCTCTATCCCTTTCCTTTCCTCTCTGTAAAAAAAAAATCAATAAAATATATTTTGAAAATAAATAAATAAAATAAACCGGAAGCAACTTAGTCAGCCTCTTAGCCTGAGGATGACAGAACTTTCTGGTCCTTGTTAAGCTTACCCAAGGTGCTGAAACCTCCGTCATGTCCAGTGGCAGTGAGGACGCTCACCAGAGAGGCCAGAATCCCAGGGCCTGTAGCTGCCTTCGCCAGTGCACCCGAGGCGTTGCAATCAATGCCTTTCTTCGTTGTAATCGTTGCATGGTCATCACCCAATAATTCGTAGGAATTCCTCTTTCTATTACCGATACAGTGCTTTCAAATATGATATTTTAGAATCTTTTAAATTTGATATTAGATATTAAGTAGAAGCAAAAAGACTACTTAGTAAATATATTTAAAACACTAATACAACCTGTATATGTGTGTATATCCCTTCTTCGTTTAAGAAAAAAAACATGAATATTGCCTTTTAATTTCCTGTGTACCCCTCTATCCTAGCCTTACCTCTCACCTCACAGGTTAACTGCCGTTCTGAATTCTACGTGAGCAATGTCTTGGGGTTCAGTGCCATATATGTTTTACTCTTAAATAATGGAAATTTCTAATTTTGCATGTTTTAAAAAAATTGTAATGGAATCATACTGGATATATCCTTATAGTACTTGCTTTTTATTGCTTCACATTATGTCCCTGAGGTTCATCCATACTGCACACAGCAGCAATTTATTTATTTATCCTATGGAGAACACCTATTGTGTGAGCTTACCAAGATCTGCCTTTCTAGCCTACAGTAAGTGGTGAGTGGGTTGTTTTCAGCGATTATGACAATGCTGCTGTAAACATTCTCGCGCTGGCTCCCCGTAAACATGTGCAAGCATTTCTTTAGCTGTACACCCACCTTGGAGTGAAGTGGTTGAGCCATGGGCTGTGTGTACCTTCCATTTCACTAAATCGTTCCAAACTGTTTTTCCAAAGCGGTTGTGTCATTGTACATTTCCACAGGCAGTGCCTGGGGACCCAGGTGACTTCTTACAGCAATACTGGGTGTTGTCAGACTCATTTTTGGTAATGTGGCTGTTGGTTAATGGTGTCACGGAGTGAGTTTAAGTTGCCTGTCCTTCATTATTAATGAAATTGAACACCTTTCTGTTTGTTTATTGGTCATTTTGCTTCTCTCTTTTGTGAAGCACAAGTAGAAGCCTTTTTATGATTGGGTTGTCTTTTTTCACACTAATTTGTAAGATTTCTTTATACATTAGGATTACAATTGCTTTCATTGGTTATAGGTGCTGCAAAAAGCTTCCATTCTGTGCCTTGTCTTTGCTTTCTCTTACTGATGTTTTTTGATGAACAGAAGTTACTGATTTTAAATTAGTTGAATCTATCAATCCTATCCAAGGTTTGATGGTCTGATCTATGTTTCTCTGTCTTTGGATCTGTTTCTGTTCATCAGTTTATGTTGTTCATTATATTCCATAAATGAGTGAGATCATGTGATATTTATCTTTCTCTGACTGACTTATTTTACTTAGCATAATGCTCTCCAGTTCCATCCATGCTGGTGCAAATGGTAAGAACTCCTTTTTTTTACCACAGCATAGTATTCCATTGTGTAGATATACTACAGCTTTCTAATCCACTCCTCTGATGATGGGCACTTAGGCTGTTTCCAAACCTTAGCTATTGTGAATTGTGCTGCTATGAACATAGGGGTGCATATATCCTTTCTGGTTGGTGTTTCTAGTTTCTAGGGATATATTCCTAGGAATGGTATTACTGGGTCAAATGGGAGTTCTATTTTTAGTTTCTTGAGGAAACGCCACACTGTTCTCCACAGTGGCTGCCCCAGTCTGCATTCCCACCAGCAGTGCACGAGGGTTCCTTTTTCTCTGCATCCTTGCCAGCACTTGTTGTTTGTTGATGTGTTGATGATAGCCATCTGACAGGTGTAAGATGGTACCTCATTGTCATTTTGATTTGCATCCCTCAGATGACTAGTGACTTTGAACATGTTTTCATATGTCTCTTGTCCTCCCTTCTGTTTTCTTTCGAAAAGTATCCTTGCCTTATTTCCTGACATAAGCATTTAAGACTAAAAAATGTTCTGCTATGTGCTCTACTAGCTTTAAACCACAAGTTTTAATATGTGAAATTTTTGTTACTGCTTAGTTCTAAATATATTTAAATTTCAATTATTTTTTACTCAATTATTTTAGAACTGTGTTTTATAATTGTCAAACATATGCAGGGGTTTTCTTGGTGTGTTTTTTTTTCTTACCTTTTGTTTATTGAATTGTGTTCAGAGACATATATATATATATATATATATATATATATATATATATATATATATATTTGAAATTATTTGAGATTGGTTTTATGGCCAAGACTGGTTTTCTTAACTATGCTATTCAGATTTTTTTGTGTATAATTAATCTA